CTTGCAAACGTTTCGTTGGAAATTGTTTAAAAAATGAAAACAAAAAATTAACTGAAGTAAATAATAAATAAAAAATATGTTAATTACTTTTAAAATTAGTATTTGTACGATGCGATCAAGGAAAGGGTAACGAAAAAGGTCTTTAATGCTTTTGTGACATTCTTATCGGTTTTTGTGAATGCGTTTTGCTTGCTCCGATATTTTTATTTTTAATTTTATTGATATTTTTAATTATCGTCAATGATTTAAAGTCAGCGACATTCATTTAATTGAACACATTTTAAAATGAGTTAATAAATAAAAATTAATATAAAAAAAAAAAAAAAAAAAAAAAAAAAAAAAATGAAGAAATAGAAAAATAATTGAAAATATTATTATTATCGAGTATACTGAGAAGAAATATTGGGGAATGTCATCTGTTTTGCGGGCAGATGGAAATATTCATCAGACATGTTTCTTACACATATGTGCGATTATTTATTAACTATCACTGTTGTTCTCGGTCTCGCTACGTGATTTCCAATTTTTACCTTTGAAAATATCACGATGTAAAGTAGACAGACATTCGATATGTATAGAAATGGGTGTGATTTTCCCACAATATAAAAATAAATTGAATTGAATGAAATTCGAGAAAGGGATACGATTTCAAATCAAAAGCTTGCGGCGCATACATATAGCGATCGAAGGCGGGGAAATACAATACCTGGTATTGATCTGTTTCGGTCCACAATGATGTTTGGTATGATTAAAAAAACGTTGACGTCTCATTTTTGTTGATTGGGTAATCGCAATTGACGTCGGCCAAATCGCGGCTTTAATCTGCGCTTGAACGAAAAATATTGAATGGCGTAAAATTTTTGAAAGTTTACAAGGATTCACTGAAAATTTTGTTCGATTCGCATCATCGTCATCTCATTTGTTATATACATTTATGTATGTTAGATCTGATGACGTATAACGAAACTTCATCTACTAGAAGCTCAATGCATTTTAGACTAATTATAATTTACGCGACTTATAATTGTATTGAAACAATACGTTACAAAAATGAATTATTGAACGATGACGACAAGCAATATTTCAATCCTTATACGTATAGTATGAGATGTGTTTTATTGGCAAAGTTTTTCCCATTAACGTAAGGCAGAAAAATGAAATGTAATAAAAAGTTGAAAAAAACAAAATAACTTTTCCTTAACTTAGTCTTTAATTAAACGGAATTGATACACATCTGTTTTTCCATAATAAACAAAAGACTTAAACAACAAACTTGATTATGCAGAAGTTTCCATTTCGTAGCTATATTTCTGTATGTAGCCTGTCTCATTGCTTTACGATATCTATTCATCTCCCCGCGCTAATGATGCGTTATTGCAAAAGAGTAAAGAGAGAAAGAGACGCAGTAATGAAATGAAAGAAAAAAAAGAAGAGACGAAAAGCTCAACGAAATGACTAAGAGCAAATTTATGAGTAAAATTGAAAGTTAGTGGGTGTCGAATGACAAGTTGCACTATTCAAAGAATCGCAATATGTATACACTATCCGTATTGCTTCATCGGAAATGTTTCTATGTCTCGTTTACAGGAAATTATTTATATTAAATTCGAATCGGAAGACTGCGAATAGTTTCTATTACTATTTGAAATTATTGCATATTGCATGATGCGCCTATGCATAGGAGTAATCCGATAAATTTTCATAGTTTTTAATAATCAATTAATCGGCATGTATTCCCTATGCACGTAAATGTGGGAAAGGGGGGAAATGATGGGGAAAGCGTGTGCCCGGTCGGTAAAGTCATAACACGCATTAACAGATCCGCTTTTTTACTACTTGGCTATGCGGACACAAGAAGACACAACCCTACTGATTCGGTCATATGATCGATCCCTGTCGACATTTGTGGTAGATATGGGATATAGATAGCCTCAACACTGACCAATAAATTATTTCAATATATTTTTCTTAAGACCATTGATGAGCTCTTCCTTCCTTCCTTGACGTTCACTAATCATCTATTTCGGGTAATTTGATATTTTTTATATTTTTTAGAGGTTATGCACAATTGCTTCTAAGTTTGCTTCTTTTTTTTTTTTTTCTTTTTTACATATGTCGGATATAACTTTAACTTTGTCTAATCGCACGTTTCGAGAAATTTACAACAATTACGACATCTTTTATGTTGCAATATTGATATGGAAATGCGTAGACTAAATATAATATGTTTAGAGAAAAAGACTTTATATATATATGTATATATATATATATATATTTTTCATTAAATTTTTCTATTATTCAAACTAAAGTTTGATTCGGTAATTCGTGCGGCAAGCAAATATCGAGCTCTTTTGTGTACGTGTACGACCTTACGGAGATTTTTTAAAACGATCTTGCGATCGATATTCACTTTTTGAACAATGTCATGACTGCCAGATTGTTAGCGATAGCGAAGTTCATCTTTGGCGATTGAGATTTCCAAAACGGAAGGTAACAAACTAATCTACATTCTGTTACATTCGATAAAGCATCGCAAGACCGCCAAATATCAAAAATATTTCCCAAGTTAGCTTAGCCTTTTTTGACTTTTTCGTAGTAACATTGCAAAAAAGGTGCATTTTTTCAGCGATTTCACTCATTTCACATTAATGTATCTCCTGAAACGGCATTCGCAGAGAAATTGTGGATTCTTGAAATATCACTTGCACACAACATCACACGTATCAGTACGATTGCCGATAAAAGTTCAATCCAATTATTTGGTTTAGTTTGTCGATATATGGAATATATGAAATATCATTATATAGTGAAAAAAATCCCCAATATATAATATAATTAAATCTCTTGATGCGTTCATTTTGCGATAGAGTTCTTAATAACGAACTTTCACGATCTTTTTTGCGTTCTTATGGCGCATATGGTAGTAACAAAATTTCTTATTATCATATATGTATAATACACTTTGCATTTCATATGTAGAAGGCAGGTAGAAAAGTCTGTCATATGACAAGTGGAAATGTTATAAATATTGTTATACTGCAACAGTAGTAGTAGTGTGCCGTAGCAAGGGTTCATTTTTAATAGCTGCAAACTGAGACAATTGTCTTATTCTCGAAAATATCCCTCTACTTGGCTTGTATATAAGAACAAATCGAAAAAGGAATTCCTGCTTGAGGTACTTTTTGCAAGTCGTTCTCCTGTTGACTTGTATTCCCAAAATTATTTCTGGCCTTTTTTCTTTTCTGTTATTGTTGTTGTTTTCTTTATTTTAAAACCGTTTGCTGATGACTTTACTTAGGTCGTTGTTGTTGTTCAAAAAAAAAAAAATAAAAAAAAAAAATTAAAAATTTACGCACGTACGTATTGTATCTGTGTGTTTTTACTTTGCTTAGGAATATATACATATAAATATATATATATATATATATATATATATATACATATTCATATTCATATATATATATACACATATATATATATATCTATATATATTTATTTTTGTGTTGTTTTTTACTCAACTTTATGTTGTTGTTTTTTTGTAATAATTTTATTAGTCACTCTCTGACTGACCAGTCAGTTAAGCAAACACAACGCAGCAGCAAGTGTTAAAGCGCTTACACTTTTAAGTGTAAGTGTATGCGTGTATGTGTGTGTTTGCGAGTTTTGTTTTTTACACACATGTCCATGCAAATATAATAATAACTAAACCGCAAAGGTGTTCACAGTTTATTTACTGCTTTTTTTTTTTTTGTTTTTTTTTTGTGTTTTTTTTTTTTTAATTTTTAATTTTTATTTATAATCGTTGTTGTTTGTATGCAACGTGTATGGGTATGTGTGAGATTTTCTTAAATAATTTATAAACAAATGTAACGCTTGCTAAACGTTTCATTTGCGTTCATACAGTCGAAGTGTTGAGAAGTGTTCTTCAATTTCTTTAGCTTTCTTCTGAACGAGACAGCTTCTCAACGGTTAACGTTCAAATTTATGAGTTACGCGTTTATCAGACGTGATTAAGTTTAGTTAAAACGTTTTGAAACGCGTGTTTACGGTTCGTGAGCTTGGAAAAGATATAAGCAAAAAGCGCTGAAAGTAGAAAAAAATATATATAAAAAAAGTATTTTCTTTTGGTTTTAAAAACACAAACAAATAAAAAACGAAAGAAGTTTTAATAGCAAGGAACGAGCCGAGCAATTCATTCATTTATTGTGATTAATTTGAAAATTGAAAAAAGAAAAAAATTATTTAAACCAGTTTCATTTATTATAAATTCGTTTTATATATTATATTATTATTTTCTTTTTTTTTTTTTTTTGGTTAAATTGGTTTTTTTTTTTGTTTTGTTTATGGAAAACTTCGTCGTATGAAAACTTACAAGAAAAACAACACAATAACACAATAACAAATCTTTCAAATCTTTTTGGTATAAACAACAAATGTTTTCTTTGTGTGTTTGTGCGCGTGTGGTATGATGAATTCGTTATACGTTTTCGAGCATTTCATGAATGCGCAACAGAAAATCGCCCAACAACAAGCAAATCAGAAAAAAATCAAACTTCATATGGAAAAGTTGCTGAAAAGTGCGAAAAAAATTAACGCTTAAAAACAACAACAATTCTTATATAAACAGTTTTTGTGTGCTGTGCTGAGCAAAACAGTCAAAAACGATTGTGAAAGAAAGACTTATTATTATTTAAAAGAGACTCTCGCCGATGTTATTACAATCAGCCAATGTAGTAAAAATCCAACGGTTAACTAAACTTTTCATTTAAAAGAAAACTTTGCATTTCAAGAAATTTTATAAAGAATTTTGACTACCTCAAGTAGTAGAAAATCAAAAACTAGTCATCTGTATATATACATGTGTATATAGATATAAATTAAATCATTGAACATTGAAGTTTTGTAAGCAAAAATTCAATAAAATTTTGAAAACATTTTAAAAAATTCACTTCAAGTGTTTTGTTAAAATATTCGAGTTTGTTTCTTTGTTCCCTATTTTCAAAATGTTGCTTAATAAGTATTTTGTAAAAATTTCGAATGCTGTCCATCATAAAAATAAGGAAAACATTAAAAGTTCTGCAAATAAGCAAAGCTGCCCGATTAATAATAATAATAATAATAACAACAATAATAATAATAATAATAATAATAATAATAATAACAAGAATAACAAGAATAATAATAATAGCAATAGCAACAAAAATAACGGTAACGTTACTGCCGCCAGTAACACCACCAGCATGATTGGCATTAACGGTAACAATCAACATAATGCTGCCCGTAACTTAGAATATGAACGTGCCATTGCCGCTTCTTATGCAGCCGCTATGCCCAAGAAGAAGAAACCCAAAGTCAATCTTCATCATCGTTCCTTTAGCAAATCTTGCCTATCCACCGATGAATTAGCAGTTATCATAAGAGGTCCGAACAGACGTCAGACTTTAAAAGAATCGGAACTTTATTCGACATCTCTAATAAGTAACAGTATTAACACGGCAGTACGTGAACCGATTTTAAAGGCAAAGAGTTCTTTAAATTTGAATTTATCAACATCACCGTCATCGGGCATATATTCGGGGGCATCGTCATATGCATCGTCACTTCAAGCCCGCTCATCATCATCGTCCAGCTCGTCGATAGAATCTTTAAATTCATCCTATTGTCACACTCCAATTTCGTCAAACGCCTCGACACCGCTGTCGTTGCCTTCGGGCAATCCAGTATGGCCTTTGTCGTTGGGTATACCTCATGAATTGGCAGTGTTGCGTACCCGCATGTGGATATATCCGTGCGTATTATTTATTATGGTTTTTTTTTTTTTTTTTTTTTTTTTTCTAATAAAATTTTAATTTTTAGTTTTTAATTCGCTTCATTGCGTCTATGCATACGCAATATGCCGCGATATACCGCAAGTGGATATGGTTGTAGTAAAAATCATCTCAAGTTGCGATCAAGTTTTCCAAACAATCATTTCATTTATATTGAGGTTATGTTCAAAGGCGATTAAAATCATCTAAGATTTTATTGTCTTCGACAGTATATATTACCGACTAAGTCGAGAATGAAAATATTCTCTCGCAAACAATTTGCAGTATTTTTCTATCAATTAATCGATATACGATCAATAGGAGACGGTTGAGGTTAGATCAAGCGTAGACGCATACAAGTTGCGAAAAGATGAAAGCAATTGGCAGGAGAAGCGCAGCATAAGCCTTATATGCAAAGCGTATAGTTCTTCGTAACTTAAAAAAGGCGACTAGGCAGTAGGCAGTAGACCGCACATACCCGTAATTGGTATGTTTGATGCGAAAAGCCCACATGCAACGCATACAAGGCAATACATGGCAAAGTAGAAAGGACTACTCTCGGCCAAGGCTATGCCTGGCCTTGAGCGATAGTTTTTCGGCACGGTTTTTCATGCCAAGCGTCTATCGTATAAAAACAAGGTTAGGAATGGTACTTTCCCAAAAAAAAAAAAAAGAAACAAATCCCATAAAAACATTTTTATATGAAACAAATCACATAGAAGGGTAAAATTAATGGTCACTTGCGAGACTTTCGTTAAATAGTATTAATTTGTTCCATTTAAATTTATCACTTTTTTTTTTTTTCTTTTGCTCGTGTATAGAATGCATAAAAAATTCAATTTAAATTTAAGCGTAAAGAGAGAAAAAAAAACAAAGACTAATACCTAATGTTTGCTACAAGCGAAGAAAACATAAACAAATTATTGAGTAAAATTCTTTCATGTCATGTTAATCATTGGTTAACGACCTATGCAAATAATACACGACAAGAAGGTCATCAAGTTCAGTAGTTTGGTAAATCGCTCGTTTATAACATTAGCATGTAGTCTATATGTATATATTATATGTATTGCCATTCAATTAACAAAATTAAGTTGATTTTTTTCGCTCAAGCGCTCAAGTCGTTCAGTCGCTCATCTGCTAATTGTTATTATCGCGCACATTCTCATGGTTTCATATTAACGATGCCCGTACGGATCTTTGTAAAATAAAATATGATTGCAACACGATTGAGATATGTTACTTTATTCATCTGCCTGGTCGGTCCATACTATTGTTCCTTTCTTTTTCAACTTCGAATCGAAATCGTTCTAATTGCATTTTCACGCTTAATTTGTGCCCATGATTCAAGTATATATATATATATATATATATATGTATTAAATTTCACTTTTATATTTTTCGATTTTTGAACTTTCGATTTCGAACTTTGAGAATGTCAATAAACTACAGGCGGACGAAAAATCGTACACTTAGTTAAACAGTTAGCTTTGATAACGGTAAAATGAATATATACCATGTGTATAAGCAAGTCTTTACTGGTTTTTCAGCAAGACATAGTTACGTTACTAATTATTGTTATTTGACCCCCCTCTCGGGAAATATTGTTTTCGCGTAAGCATAGTACAAGTTATGTACATGATATCATATTGGAAGCGCAATAAATTGATGGATATAATATATATATATATATCGGCGATAAAGCCGACTATTGCTGACTTTCCCAAAGAGAGGAATTAGTCGAATGTGTTTATATAATTCCAAAAGAAGTAAACGATCGCTATAGACTGCAATCATCAATTAGAACGGATGTAACTCAACCGATTGTTAAGCGAAAAACGTTCACAATTTCTCAGTATAATGACAATCAGGCTCATATTACAACGTGGTCAGCATGCGCCCACTATATTTAACATACATTACTTTTACCGACTAATATCCTTTTCAGTCGATGACTTATTGTGTGTGTTGGTGATCCTTTCACGCTTATGACGGTATTTAAGAAATTTGTCTTTTCTTTCAATAGCCTCTAAAAATCAGATATCCCTGGAAATTAAAAATAGATCTTCTCCGCAAAAGGCGAGTAAATGTTTTGAATAATATGCTTTTCACCATTTCCTTGAAGAAAAAAAAAAAAAACAAAAAAAAATAAAATAAAATAAATAAATAAATGAATTAAATACCAGTCATAACTTATTTTCACACCTGTTAGCGTTTTATTATTTGAGTGCACTGTTAAGAATTTAAATGAAAAATAAAAAATAATGAAACAATTCATAAAAATAAGCTTTAGTTCTCCTAATAATCGTAATTGACTGAAACTGAAACTTCCATAAAACATTTCCTATAATTTGAGCAGAAACCAAAAAGCTGATAAAAAACAAAACCGATAAATTTGTAAGAACCATTTCCGATAATGGTGTTTTACTACTTCTTATATACCATTAAGTAAGTTTCAATCAATACTACTTTTCATTTCGCTTCCAAACCTTTTTGAACCTGATCTGATTCCTAAAAATAGAAAAAATGCTTGTAAATAAATCAAAACTTGATTTTGAAAAGATAGCAAAGATGATATGAAGACTAGTAAAGGGTGAAAAACACATTTTATATGAAAAACCAAAAAAAAAAATAAAATAAAAAAATTCAAACTTTAAGAAAACATATTCAAACTAAGTGCAAAGAACTAGACTGGCAATAGGATGAGTCTTATGGAGAGCCAAGCGCATTTGGGACCACATCTGCTATAGAATAGAAATCGATTAGAATAAATTTGCGACATACGCTAGCCATGGCAATCTGAAAACAATTAAGCACTTATTTTAAATAATTGCTTGGCGTAGTTATCACGAAATATCATAATTAAGTCGTTAACGATGATATTAAACTAGTTTGCACCCATTTAATTAAAGCGAAATCTTTGCAGCTTTTCCAAGTTTTGTGAGCGATAAACACAATCAATACTGTTTATTGCAACATTTTGGGTTAACATCGCGAAATTCAACAAATTTATTAGTACTTATTGAAAAGTTCATATTGCCAAAACATATATACTCGTTAACGAAAAAATAAGGTTGTGTATGAAAACAAGTTTAAACTCTATCGTTGTGACTTGTGTGAAAAAGACGAAAAAGAAAATCACCTTAAAAGAACCGTAATAGGAGTTACTTTCTAAAAATTTCCCCTAAAGTTTGAAAAAAAAAAAAAAAAAAAAATGGTATCTATATTATCGGCCCTCCAATTTAATTTCGATGAAATTTGTTGGACTGTTGTTTAAGTAAGGAAATTGCGGAACACAAGTACCGCAAAATAGCTAAAATCGTGGTTAATTTACTTCATTTATAATACGTGCTCGCATGCATTTTAATCAGTGACATCTATTGATGAAAATCATAAAATAATGAAAATTACGATGATTTCGACCTTTCTCTACATAACATGGCAGTTGCAGTGCAGGAGAGCCATCCACATCGACACTGAAGCGGAGTATTTGCGCCCATAAAGTTTTGCTGTCACGTGATAAGATCAGCAAGGTGGAGCGCGGTATTACGAGTCGCTAAAACCGAGTGAACCCGTCACTGCAACTGTCTACGACAATTGAACAAATAGCATCAGCAACAGCGGTTAAATAGATGTAAATAGATGATGGTCTTGCATAGTAACGCTCGAGCACACGTTGCAAGAGTTGTCAAGGATACACTTTAGTGGATCGAATGGGAAGTTCCGCCGCGGCCAGCGTACTCACCTGACATATCGCTTTTTAATTATCATTTGTTCAAATCGACACTTGGCACGCGGTTTCAAAATGCTGAAGAGGTGTGAAAATGAGTTAATTGATTGATTGATTGATTCGCTGCCAAGTTAATATCGCGGTATCAACGTGTTGCCAGAAACGTGGCAAAAAGTTGATGGCAAATATTTTGATTACTATTTATGTTGTAACAATTTTTCTCAATAAATGGTTTTTTAAAGCGAAAAACAAAAAAAATGATTAAAATACATGCAAGCACACTAAGTATTAATATTAGATTCATTATGAAACTGTAAAAGAGGCTTTGAAGTTCAGATTGTTAAATGATTAACTCTTTCATAGATCGTCTGATTGGCTTGATTGCAATTCAATGACGAAATTTTCAAGATTTCCGAAGAGTAGTGTGTTTGGAAACTTATCTTCGAAGAAGGTAACAAAGTGATTCAATGCTTTACTGCGGACGGAAATCATTAGCGGGGTAGCCCTGAGTCTGATAGCATACGAATATTACAAGATTCATTCATTACAAGATTCATAGCACTTGTGAAAGCAAAAAAAAAAAGAAGAAGACCGGGACCTTTTTCAGGTCGCGTTTGTGTTCATCGTGCTCTAACTACTAACAGGCAGGCAGCTGTAGTCGGAAGAATGTTATTTTTGCGTTGTGTGTATGCATGTGTGCGTGTGTGTGTGTGTGTTTTTTTTTTTTTTGTTTGTTTTGTTTTCCTTTTTATTTATTTATAAATTGAATTGTTATTGATTTATTTTAATAATTATTGTTTAAAATCTTTCGATTTTAATTATTATTATTTTTATTATTTATTTATTTTATTTTATATATATATATATATTTATTTTTTTTCAATTATGCGCGTTTGAGTTTAATTTTGTTTAGTTTAAGCAAAGAGTGTGTGTGTGATTAACGGTTATTTTTAAATTTATTAAAATATCCATAAGGCAGTGACGTTAGTTCGTTCATGAGTTATATACAAACGGTTAAATTATCATTTAAGGAAGTTGTTTATAGCAATAAGTGCATAAAGAAAGTAAAAGCATATTGAATATATATATATATATATATATAATATAACAGGTTATTAATGTGTGTTATAATTAAAAAAGAAATTATGAAATTACGATCAAACACTTGATTAATTTTAACCATGACTTAGAAAGGTTTTCTCAATAATTTCATAACCAATCAATAATTTTACGCCTATTTTATGCAATTAA